TCCGACTTGACCTGACCCCCCCTTTCCTCCTCCCCATAGGCTTCCCAGGGGAGCGGGGCCGACCATGGTGCCTTTAGCAAGGCGGCTGAGTTCTCGCGCCTGGGGGTGATCCCCGTCCCCACCCCACGGATACAAGCACCAAGCAAGCGAATGCTGTGGGCAACGTCGAGCCGAGCTCAAACTGAGCCTTTTCCAAGGGCACCGACGACACAAAGGGTGAGCAGTGAACACCCCGGCCCCGCTTGCACCCCCCTACCTTTGCACGTCTTCCTGTCGGGCTGGAGCATGAAGCCCATGGGGCAGCTGCAGTGCACGCCCGTGGCCGCGTCGTGACACTTGCTGTCGCAGCCCCCGTTGTTCACAGCACACGTCTCTGCACGGAGAGGGGAGAGAGCGGCTGGGGTGAGGGACCGGTGTTTAAAAGGCTGGAGGGGATCATGCCACCCAGATGTCCCCACGCCACCCAAATGTCCCCACGCCGCAGCCTGGGAGGCAGTGGGTGCAAACCTCCCTGCAGAGCCCACTGAAATCGCCCTTGGCTTTTCACACAGCAGTAACGAGGTCACGGAGCCCCCAAATTAATAAACACCCTGGATACAGAGCACAAGGGCCGGACGGGGGCGGGGGGGAAGGCAATAATATTTGGTGATCCCGCAGCATCTTCCGCCCCCGCAGACGACCCCGGCGCTCATTGCCTTTCCCATCGCCCTGCCACGCACCCAGGTGCTGCTCCCCAGGGATTTTGGAGGTGAAATAAGGGTGCCTGTGATTCACCCCAGGTTGCAGGCAGCGCTAAGGCAGGAAAAAGCACCCAGATTTCCCGGTTCGCCATCCAAACCCCTGCGCAACCCTCCCGCCTTCCAACAACCTGCTCTTATATACTGGGTATCTGCATTTAAGGTAGAGAGGGGAGTGGAGACAGCCCTCTCCCCTCGTTAGAGGAGGCTTCATTAATCGGAGGCAGGGAGCAGAGCAGCGCCCGGCCGTCCCGGGGAGGACGGGGTCATGGACACAGGCAGGGATGTGCAGGCAGAGCCACTGCCTGTTGCGAAACAGCCGACACTCGGGGCGCTGGGAAAAGCGGAGGTGGTTTGACAGAGGCTCTTTGCTCCCGAAACGCGTCAGCTTTTCAGCTGATGGAGGGAAAAGCGGCTCTGTGGGATTAATCCTGCCGCGTTCAGCCCCCACTTTGGCATCGGGGCCGCGTGTCCCCTGAAAACAGGGTCTGGTGGAGTCCAGCTTTGGCAGCTCCAACGAGGAGGAATTGAATTTCCAAGTGACAAAGTCACGGCACTTGCTGTGCAAAACGCAGCCAGAGCCGGGTCTCGCTGGGGGTGCCCAGGCTGCGGCTCTCTGGGGATGCAGGTGCGCAGCCCCGGTCCCCTGGTGGGATGACGGGGCGGGGGGGGGGGGTCCCGG